TGACAGTAGTTCAAATGGGATATGAATAAAATATGGATAAAACTCAGTTCAGAAGATATTTGTTGTATTAACAATAGTATCTTGACAATGTAAAAGTAACCAAACTCTGAAAAATAATTTTAAAGAGATTTATTCTGAGCCAAATTTGTGGACCATAACCAGAAGCCACGCCCAAGAAGCCTTGAGCAATTGGACTTGCTGTGGCTGGGTTACAGTTCAGTTTTATACATTTCAGGGAGACAGGGGTTACAGGAAAAATCATAAATCAATACGTGGAGGCATACATTGGTTTGGCCCAAAAAGGTGGGCCATCTCGAAGCTGGGGGTAGGTGTGGGGGGGAGCTTACAGATTATAGGTAGGTTTAAAGATTCTTTGATTTGTAATTGGTTAAAGACATGAAGCTTTGTCTAAAGGCTTGGAATGTTTTAAGATGAGGAGCTGTTAGACTATCACAGAAACTGAAGGATGGAATTCTGCAGAGTAGACACAGACAATGTTGGGGAATAGTTCATGTGTTTTATGTGTTACATGGCTGCTTGTGAGCAATAAACTGAGTTCAACATCAAAATTCATCAGGAGGTAAACAAGTGAATTGAAATTATTTGGATAAGCACTTGAGATTTGGATACTTTGGAAGAGGTCCTTTAAAGAAAGAACCATTCACCATTTAATTTTTGCTCTTTTTCATTTCACAAAGCCCTCCCTCACCGGAGTCCTTTTTCTAGCTTATTTAACTATTGTTCACGATATTCAGGTGCCGACTTAAATGTGATACCTAATCCAACATAGAGAAAATGTCTATTGTTTATTCTTCCACTAGTTTGTAAGTTCTAGAGCAAACAACTTTGTATGCCCAACACTTAGCACAGTAACTAAAAATATTATGAGTAGTGTTCAATAATTATTTATTTGACAAATCCAAAAGTTTTTTTTAAAGTTTTACTCTTTTAAACTGAATTGTTTTAATCAACTTTATAACATCACAAATTAAGATCTTTGTTATTTATCTTTGAATCTCTGACACATAGCACATAGTAGTTTCTCAATAAATATTTGTCTTTATATTTGTATGTATGTATTCATATTTGTATAAATGCATGAGCAAATAATTAAATTATGTTAAAAATAAGGCATAAGAAAGTTATTTAGGACATGAAGACCTATGACACAATCTTAGGGCCTTCTGGAACAGTGCTATTCAAAGGGGACCAGCTCCATCACGATTACCTAAGGCTTGTTAGAATTGTAAATTTTCAGGCCCAGTCCAGACCTACAGAAACAGAATCTCCCACTGTGGGGTCTAGGAATCTGTGTTTTAAATTTTCTAGGTAATTAATGAAGGACATGTTGAATCACTGGTTACTGGAACCCACACCACAAAATGCTGATCTTATAGGGATGGGAGCCGCTGGTTTGCATTTCTACGAAGCTCACAGGTGATGCTGATAGTGCTGGTTTGTGGACCATCCTTCAAGAAGCACTGCTTTAGAGTGGAGGTTGGCAGACTATGGCAGCCAAAAGTTGGCTTACATGCTGGCTTTGTAAATAGCTTTATCAACACATATGCACACTTATCCTTTTAAGTATTGCTTATAGCTACTTTTGTGTTATAATATAGAGTTAAATAGGGTGACAGAGACCATGTAGGCTGCAAAGCTTAAAATATTTGCTCTCTGTCCCTTTATAGAATATTTGTCAAACCCCATTAAGAAACACAGGTTTTTGACAATTTGGTACATTTTGAGTTGGACTTTATACATTAAAATGAATTCTCATTAAAGGAGGAAACTGGCAGATTAATTAAAGTAATTGTAATTTAATGAGAAGTTTTTATGATATTTATCTGTTGGCATAAATGCTTCTAAAGTAATTGTGCATAAATCTCAGAAGCTTAAACTATATTCCTTCCATATGCAAGCCATCAGACCTTACTCTTTAAAAGGATCAACTCTACGTTAATAATTGAACAACCCCTCATAGGGAAGCTTCAAATATATGTTTTTTTAAGGTTACTGAAGGAACCATTAAATTAAAATTAAATGATATAAATCCACCAGAAAGAAATATAAAGTAAAACTATATTACAATGGGACTCATTTAAATGAATAACAATGGAAGTAACAGAACAGTTTAAAAGATATATATTTTTGTGCTTTTAACCAGAAAAAAATAAATTCAACATATGTCACAAAAACTTAACAAATAAGCTCTTTAATGATTCACATTCTAAATACTATAATATGAAATACACACACTTGAACCATAGCAGTGCATTAAAATGGTAATGTTGTTAAGATGTCATTTTTCTACAAATAAAGAAAATAAAAACACATTAATTTCCTGCATTTACAAATAATACTATAGAGAGAATATTTCTTTAGTAAAAATATATTGAGTAGTTTTACCAAAGCATGTTTAAATAAATAAATGTTTCAAGAAACAACAAATGAATATTTAATTTCGTTAAATATTAAAAATAAAAATATAAGTGTGTTAAATATTAAACACATTTCCTGGAAAGAGTTCTTGCTTATCATCAAAATTGCCTTATAAGTCTAAGTCATATCATTAAAACTATAGTATAAAATAACTCAATTTTCATCTTTTTCTATATTCACAGGTATAAAGGAATAATAGTTTGGCAAATTCTGTGGTTTGAAACATTTTACAAATACAGTCATATTTATTTATGGTAAACTTATCCTTATATCCATATATACAATTTAATTTATAAGTGTTGCTCCAGAGGTATTTTCTTAAAGTTAATGCAGTAAATAAGGAATACGTGGAGAAGCAATACATACATACATAGGAGAGTGTATGTGTGTGTGTGCGTGTGCTTGTATTTATGATAATTTTTGTAATTATATTGTAGCTCCTTTTTAAATGTTTTTAAGTTTTTTATTTGACACATAATTGTATGTATTTATGGGGTACAATGTGATGTTTCAATATATACATTGTGTAATGATCAAATCAGGCTTATTAGCATATCCATCACCTCATATATTTACTGTTTCTTTGTTGTAAGAACATTCAAAATCCTCTCTTCTAGCTATATTGAAATATTCAATACATTATTCTTAACTATAGTCACCCTACTGCACACCACAACTTATTACTCTAATCTAACTGTAACTCTGTACCCATTGACAGACCTCCCCTCATTCTCACCTCGCTCCTATGCTCCCCAGCCTCCGGTAACCACTATTCTATTCTCTATTTCTATGGGATAAACTTTTTTAGATTCCACATATGAATGACATCATGCGGTATCTGTCTTTTCTGTCTGGCTTATTTCACTTAACATAATGTCCTCCAGGTTAATCCATGTTGTTGTAAATGACAGGTTTTCCTTCTTTTTTTTGTGGTTGAATAATATTCTATTGTGTATATATACTACATACATTTTCTTAAACTATTCATCTGTTGAAGGGTACTCAATTGCATTCCATATCTTGGCTGTTGTGAATAGGGCTGCACAAAATATGGAACTGCAGATAACTCTTTGACATACTGACTTCAATTCCTTTGAATACATACCCAGTAGTGGGATTGCTGTATCATGTGGTAGTTCTGTTCCTAATCATCCATAAAATATGTATTTTGTGGCAACTTAACATGAAACTGGAGGACATTCTCCTAAGTGAAATGACTCAGGAATAGAAAACTAAATGTAGCATGTTCACACTTGTAAGTGGGAGGCTAAACTATGGCTATTAAAGGACACAAATATTTTATTCATTGAGTTGTCTAAAATATAAAGCTCTATTGTCCAATACATTAGTCACTAACAGAAAGATGCTTTTGAGCTATTGAAGTACAGTTGGCTCAATTTGAGAAGTACTTTAAAAGTGAAACACAAACCAGTATGTAAAGAATCAGTATAGGGGAAAAATGCCATATATGAATATAATAAGTTATATTGATTGAACATTAAAATACAAATATTTAGATATATTGAAATAAACAAAATAAAATGAAATTACTAAAAGTAATTTCACCAATCTCCTTTTACTCTCTTTTTAATATACCTTCCAGAAAATTTAAAGTTACATATGCAATTCTCATTTATAGTTCATGTTATATTCCTATTTGATAGTGTTGATATAGAAAATAATACTGAACTAACATTTATAGCTGTTTCTTTATTAATATTCTTTTCTAAATAATGATGTTAATTTTCTAATATCTTAGACAATCCAGTTTGCAAGGGTGACTAAAGAGCTTCCATATTCTTAACATGCCATGCCATATAACACATTCAATTTCTAAACTAAATTCATTAATATAATTGCTAGAATTTTAATGAATGTCAGTGTTTAATTATTTAATTAATAAAATAATTTAAATGCTTATAAAATGCTTAGTTAATATTATTCTTAAATTAATTCTCTGTGTTTGATATAGCCCAATGTAAGCATTTTGTTTTTCTTACAAGTCATTGAATTTCTAATTGCAATCTATAGACAAGTTGAGATCATTTAGTAAAATATTTATTCCTGCTCAGAATAATAAATAAAATATTTTCACAACAGGATAATTAAAATTGTATGCATTAAAATTCTGTGATGACAGTTTCTATAATAAAATACACATTTATAAATTTTATTTATAGAATAGCAACATAGGTAACATACATGAAAAGAAACAATATTTATATGACTAATTGCCAACATAAATTTCAGGAAATTCTTTGTTCAGTAGTCTGTAATAGTTTTCACATATATTTAAAATTTTAAAAAATGTGTTCTATAGCTTGTTGTCATATTAATGAAAAATTGTTAGCCTTTTTATGAAAGAACATACAATCTTTGTTCCCATATATATTTATAAGATGTGAGCTAAATGTTTAACATTGCTACTACTGCTAGGAAATCTTCATTTATATATTGGAAGCAATAATCTGAAGTTTACTGTTAGATTTTCACAATATTTCCCAGACCTGACTTCCATTTTCTTTATATTCACCATCTGTCCATCTCTCCTGGTATCACAGTATTTTGAACAGCTTTAATAGCATTATGGAGAGAAGGATGTTTGCTGATTTCAATTCAAAGAATACTTCCTTATAATAAAGGTAGGTAGAATCTTTTTTGATATTCTCATTTCTAAAATAACAAGGACCGTGACCTATAAAATGTTGTGGATGGAGAGACATTTCTTCCTTCCTATGTGTGAGTAAAGAATCAAACTGATTAATAAATTCCTTGTACTGGTCTTTATGTTAAGTGAAAAAAATATACCCAAAACAGAACTTCTATATAAGAAGTGTAACCCAGAAAGTGTACATTTTGCCTCTTGGGTAAAAAAAGGGGGGTTGTTTGCAATTGTTGCCCTCTTTCAAGTGGACCTATATCAGTGACAGAGCACATGTTGTCAATGCTGCCACCTGTCCTCTTGGACAGACCATAAGACCTGCAAATTCATTCCCAGTTCAGTTATAAAAATTGAGTCTAGTCCTTGATTTGGGAATAACAGTCTAAGAGTAGTTGGTGCAGCCTATCTTGTTAGTCCACCAGCTGAGTGGCATTCATCTACCCATGGAATGATTAAGTGACAGCTACCAGAATGATCATGGGCATTGACAGTTGGTGTCATGTGGGTGGTAGCCATGCAGGAGTCATTCTCTGCTGTTTCTGATAGCCTTTCAGTAATGATCAGGAGAATTGAGATCAATTCTTCGTCAACACTCTCTGGTTAGGGATGGAAGACCCAACAGTCAGTTGAATTTAAGCTACTTGCAACACTTTGGGAGAACCACACCAGGTGGAAGAGTTAGATGCAAGAAGGATAGTGGCATTTTTTATAAAACTAACAAAGGCCAATTATGTCTTACACTTTGACCTGTATAGACAACTGGAGGTGGTTTCAAAGTCACTGAATCACATAGTCATTATCATTATGATCTATGACCATGTCAATCCAACAAGAAAATCCAGGTGGCTGATGCAGAATTAAATTGAATCCCCTAGGCCTCCCACTTGATCCAGCTGTTATTCAGAATTGTTGTCAAAAAGAAAGAAGCATAACATCATGATAAAATGCCAAATTTTCAAAATCGCTCTGTATAGCTCCCAAACACTTCCATTCTGATCATTACCCAGAAATTGGCCAAGTGGAGATGATCTATTTTTGGAGACAGTCACATTCAGTGACCAAAATTCCCCAATATGATATGTATACATACATACATATATATATATATATATATATATATATATATCAGGAGGAGGCATAGAAGGTAGAATCAGAAATATTTTGGGGTCAACATTTGAGGACAATGTTATAAAATTTAACAAATGCCTGTGGATGTTGTGGATGGTTCACTAAATACCTTCACTATCAGCTCAATGTTGAATGGATATTGTGATAAAAAGCAAGCTATTGTCACAGTACAAATAGTGCAGGAATCTAAAAGCATGACCCAGGAGAGTTTCAAATATCAAAATTATATTGCTTGAGTTAGCTGATTGCACTGGACTATAAATAGTCTAAAAGAGTGTCCACAGCAGTGGGGCCCCAGTGATAACCCTAAAGAGAAGGTAAAAGGCTGATGTAGAGTCAACTTGCAAAAAACAGGTATGCCTTTTGCAATGCTGCCATCCTCACCATGAGACAAATGTGTCAACCTTTGGTAGGTCTCACAGCCTGGCATGCAGATAACTATATATTATAATCATAGAGTGCTTTACTTTGATTCCAGTGTATGATGGTAGATATCTTGCCATTCTAAATGGGATGATGGATCCAGGCAGCAGAAGTGACCATGCAGGAAGAGGAGCCTTAATTACCAGCAGATTCCAATCAATCTCATCACAGAATGGCCATTACATGGATGTCCTTATGAGTGTCCTAATAAGGGATTTCATTTATCTAGCATAATGTAGTTTTCCAACAGGCAGTCCAACTGGGCCATTGGAAAAGCCCAAAGGACATAAAAAATAGAACTCATCAAGGGGAGTATTGGCAGGTACTATAAGAGTGGCTTCATTTTACCCACTGAGCAGGATGATCATGTCCATTTTTGTTTCTGCATAGCTGGTTCCAAGCAGCCACAGCAGCAATATCTGTTTTTCAGCTTAGCCAACTCATCTGTGAATCAGGTCAAGGGATTTAAGAGAACCACTATGACTTTGGGGCCCCACTGAGCCAATGGCTTTGCTTCCATTGAAAGAATGAGGAATAAAGTTTTCCCCAAAGGGAAATTTGCCACTTTTTCATGTAAAGTTGAGATGCCCCTGGAGTCAAGCCAAAGCATTCTTGAATATACAACTTCCATTTGACCAGCAAGCCTTGTTGAGCTCTTGCTACCTTGCTAGTGTTTGAATGTGAGCTGACCCCTGTCAGGCCAGAGAGTCACAAGAACTTCAGAGGTGAGGAGTTCATCTTTGAAAGAGCCCCACAGTAATCTGTCTTTCAAAAGGGTGTACCTGGTACCTATGTCAGGGAGGTGATGAGTCCACTCCAAAAGATTCATCTAGGTGGAGGCTGGCTCCTATTTGCCAAAGGCTCAAATTGGCAAAATCAAAAGCCTCAGAGTGTTGTAGCTCAGAAGGGGCAGTTGAGTTTGTGGGGCCTCAAAAATACAGAATTTCTCTGTATGCATCTCTTTCTTATAGAGAACATGCCTTCATTCACAGTGTAGACATGTAAAATACCAATGCCAATTACACATTCAGCACGGGAAGCCCCAACATAGGATAAAGAATTGGTCCAATTGGCCTCACACATACACTGCTTTAGCTTCTTCACTCTCCTGCTAACATTGTCCTAATTGAATTAACTGAATTCAGCTGCTTTGTAGGGTAGGATGGTTGGGTGCTTATATTCAAAAGAGTCGTAAAAGTTTGAAAACCTTGCCTCCATTCATTACCTCCAATGTATATGGACTTTAGACTCCCTTGGGGACAGGGAGACCTCAGCCCAACCAAATCATTTTGCTTCGTAAATAAGCTGAGAGAGGGCTAGAAAGGAAGGGAAGGGTCTGAGGACATGGAGAGAGAGAGCAACCGTGTGCGAGCAAGTATGATGAGTTGATTTTTGTTTTCAAGCCATACAAGGGCTGATCAAGGCTCAACCAAATGAACTTGCAATGTTTTCTGTGTACCCAAATCCCTGTATCAGGTGTGAAATCATCTTTACTGATGTTGTCTATTCAGCCTCTGTAGTCCCTTGCCTCTGCAATCTAATACAAATTGTTTTCTGGCTGGGGCCCCAAAGTTTATGCCCTTAGACTGAATGCAGTCTTTTTTTTTCCAGGTTCTCTCTTTTTTTTTTTAATTACTTAATTAATTAATTAATTTCAGCATATTATGGGAGTACAAATGTTAAGGTTACATACATTGCCCTTTCCCCCCTCCCCCCTCGAGTCAGAGCTTCAAGTATGTCCATCAACCAATTGGTGTGCATCACACTCACTATGTATGTATATACCCAACCCCTTCCCCCCACCTGCCTGACACCCTATAAATGTTATTCCTATATGTCCACTTAGGTGTTGATCAGTTAATACCAATTTGCTGGTGTGTACATGTGGTGCTTATTTTTCCATTCTCAGCATAATTCACTTAATAGAATGGGTTCCAGCTTTATTAAGGAAAATACAAGAGGTGCTATATCACTGTTGTTTCATGTAGCTGAATAGTACTCCATGGTATACATATATCACATTTTATTAATATATACCACTCGTGTATTGATGGGCACTTGGGTTGTTTCCACATCTTTGCAACTGTGAATTGTGCTGCTATAAACATTTGAGTGCAGGTGTCTTTTTCATAGAGTGACTTTTGTTCTTTTGGGTAGATGCCCAGTAATGGAATTGCTGGATCAAATGGTAGATCCACTTGTATTGCTTTGAGGGATCTCCATATTGCTTTCCACAGAGGTTGAACTAGTTTGCAGTCCCATCAGCAGTGTAGGAGTGTTCTTATCTCTCCACATCCATGCCAACATTTATTGTTTTGAGACTTGTTAATAAAGGCCATTTTCACTGAGATAAGTGATATCTCATTGTAGTTTTGATTTGCATTTCTCTGATGATTTGAGATGTTGAGCATTTTTTCATATGTTTGTTGGACATTATTCTGTCTTCTTTTGGAAAGTTTCTGTTCATGTCTTTTGCCCACTTTTTGATAGGGTAGTCTTGAATCATAGTATGGGGAGTTCTTGTAAGAAGTCCAGTTTAATCTGTAGTATATGCTTTACCACTGCCATGATAACATCTCTTAAATATTCTTTGAGGCTTGAAATCAAGGCTGAGGAAGTTTTCTAAGATGCCAGGACTTACCAAAAGAATTAATCTAGATTACTTTGACTCACTTTTTCTATTCTCTAGTGACTTTATCATGTCCACAGAACAGATAATGGGGTAAGCAAAATGTGGTATATCCATACAATGAAATGTTACTCATCGGCCAAGTGAAATAAACATTTGATATATGCCACAAACTGGATGAATACTAAAGCATTTATGCTGAGTGGAAGAAAGCAGAGCAAAAGGACTGTATACTAATGAATATAGTTTTTAATTACATAAAATTAAATTTCAATTTATGATATTTAAATACAATAAAAATAAAACTGATCTATAGCAACAGAAAGCATGTCAGTGATGGCTTGGTGACTGGAAGGACAGGAGGGTGAATTTACAAAGAGGCATGAGGGAACTTCTGAAACTGGTGATATTTTCATTATATTGATTATGATGATTGTTTCCAGTATATTCATATGTTATTATTTATCAAATTATATACTTTATATATGTCTAGCTCATTATATATCAGCTACCACAATAAAATTTTTGTAAAAATCTGCTCAAATATAATAAAATAAAATGGCATGGTGAAGAGAAGCAACTTTAGAAATAGAAAGGTAAAAAAAAATGCTGCACATACACTCAACTGTAATGCTAATAAATAGAATTAAAAGAACCAGCTTCTTGCTATGCTAGACCTAGCTGGGGCTTAGAAAAATATAATATAAATTCAAAATATTATAAAAAGCAATAAATCTTATATTGTGATCTAAGACACAAATCTTTGTTCAGCAGGAATTCATATTATAAATATGACTTTGAGAATGATATCAGAACTCCTAGAAATTCAAACTTCCCTTTTCGCAATTTTCCCTATATCTTTTCATTGTGTATTATGTGTCTATATGAGTGTGTATATATATATACATATGTAGATATGTATACACACACCATCTTTCTGTCTTTATGTATAATAAGTTGAATTCTGCAGGAAATAGACTCTGAAGTGGAGATTTGCCTGTCTTTTTTCCAGACTGTTCCTGGAGAAGGACTCAACTGTCAGCTGTAAGCCCCATCTCTTCCTGAATCTAGGAAATGAGTGCCTACACGCCGGAATGGGCATCTTGGCACCGAAGCACCCACTATGTCTATTTCTATGTCATTTGATACACTGATTTATATAATAAATTTATCCATCTGCAAACAGCTCAAAGATTCTGGTTATTCTCTTTCTTTGGGGAAAGTTACAAAATGTTTGGTGGCATAAGCTACAGATCCTGTCACTACATCTAATCTCAAACTGCAGCTGATATCCATCCTCTTCCTCCTTTACTGCCCATTCTGGATTCCCTTTACTTTTATCTAGCACCTCTGCTGGTCCAAGTAGCTGTGGGAAACACAGAGATGTACCGCACAATCTTGTCTTCAGGTATACCCACTACAAGTAAGGTGGTTACCTGACATCTCCAAGCCACCATAGCTTTGGTTCACTTTGGTATTCACACTGAAGCCACACTCTCTTCACCTCTTTCTCAAATGATTGAGCCTAACTGGTGTGCTTGAGCAGAGTAAGGGGAGAGCTCCTCAGAAGGTCACAATTACTCTTCGCTCTGGAGCTCCATATCAGACTACTGGAGATGTGTGGAGCTCTGCTGCTCCTTGAGGCTCCTCTTGCATAATCTTCCATTCTTGCCTCTTTTCTTTCACATGTGCCATGTTTGCATTGGGGTATTAGAGTTTTCCTTGATCCACTCTCATTTATCCATTACAGGCGTATCCCTCACTCCCTCAGAGAAAGTCTTTGTATATTGTAGTTCTTCTTGTTTGCTTCTTAGAAAATTCAAGTGAATACAATAGCCTACCTAGCAAAGTGACTCAGATACTCATTCCTGGGAACTCTAAGACTTTAGTTGTCATTTTCTTCTTAAAGTGGTTGCACATATCTATTGACTGTTGAATTTGGAAAGGGGAGTAATAGTAGACTCCAGGTGGATCACCTGATGCCAGATATATTCTTCCCAGTCATGTTGTATGCATACCTCTTATAGATGATCACGGAAAATTACTCCCACCAGTATGTTTATTCTTGTCCATGATTTCTCAACTCTTGGCATCATGGAGAAGCCCCAAGTGATCAGAAAACAGAAAAAAAAATAAAATATAATGGGATTCTTGCTGTATCTGGTAATAATAGTATTTTCTGTGGGAACAGGACCTCTGGATATGCAAATCCTAGAATTGCAGGAATAGAAAATACAAATCACCCAAATGAGTCACTGAGAATCAAGGTAAGTGAATTTAATTCTAGTTACATATCTTTGTTCATGGTACCATGTGTTTTACCCAATGCCATATAATGGCCATTAACCTATATACTATAACCTTGAATGACATCCAAGCTTTGGAGGGTATAATTTCCAAGCTGACACTTCAGATTACTCTTCAAAAGACTTCCCATCATTCTATGTGATTGGAAGCTTCTGGATGTCACAATACATAATAGGACAAGTGAGTTTAAAGATCCTGCATACACAATTCATTTGCTGCAATGTATGTCCCTTGGTCTCATGGGATATTTTGCAGAATCATGTATCCATGAATTAGTCACTCTATAAACCCTTGGATAGTAGTGGTCTTTGAGATTCTGTGGTCAAAGAAGGCAACCCATACTCATAACATCTGCTGTCCATTCAAAATCTCTGCTCTTTTCAGAATGGATGGGCTTATTGTAAGAAACTTCTTATTAAGGAGCTGGTAGTTCCCTTTCAGCAATGATGTTGTCTTTACTGCTCAATGTTGGGCTCTTTTGCTTGGTTCTCTAACAGTAATACTAACTTGGCTGTCACTGTTGAGTACAAGTTCATGCTATTGAATTTATTTACAGATTCCATCCTTGTCACCATGGCTGCTCCATTTATTAGCTCAATGTATTAGCATGGGAGATGGCCAATGAAAGACACTGGCAACTGATAACTTGCCAAGTCACTTATCCACTTGCTTTTTAAAATTGCTTTATTTTAATGACTTTCCTGATGGGCTTTAATATGAAATGCAAAGACCTTCACAATTCATGTGCACTTCCAAGTCTGTGTGTGTGCTTCTTCTGCAGCACTTCTTTTCCTTTAACTTATAGTACTTGGTCCTATTGTTATTGTATATAGTCTATCTGGCTTTTGTAATTGTCAGATCTGTGAATTAAACATGGAGATAATGGGGATTGACTTCACTGCACACCTGAAATCTGTAAGGATGGCACTGCTTCCTACCATTTCCTTCAGGGGCAGCATTATTTTTTCCCCTACTATCTTGACAGGGAAGAGACCAATTCAGCAGCCTTTATTTGACCTTCCTGACTATGATGTCTCTTATCTAAAACAGGCCAAGGTTGGGAATCTGAAAACTACCAATTGCTTACATTAAAGTTATCACTTGAGATATCAGGAAAATCGTCACTGAGTGGTCCATGGGCTCACTGGACCTGCTATGAACTAGACCTAAGCCAAGATTCTATTTTTATAAGTCCCTCACTAACAAGAGGCCTATAAAAATGTTTTGCATATCTAAATACCAATGTCAAATTGAATCTGTGTCTAGAAATTCTTGAAATGTCTTGGTATTTTCCTTTCTTCAGTTAAGTTATCAGAATAAATGATTATATGCCTTTTTAGGAAAGAATATTAGTAATCATATATATTTGCTGTAGTGTTGCAGGTAATATATTCATGGGGAAATAGCTTCTTATTCAATAAATGGATTCTGGATTTTAAAACCAGCACATGTATGAAAACTGTGCAGAGGATTATGATTTTTCATTGTATAAACTGCCTTTGGAATTCTAATCATCCATACTTAATTACTTTTGATTGGTACATTGAGACTACACTTAAAGGCTGCTTATTATTCTTCCTCTAGGGAGGTTATGTTCTACTGACAATTTTCATAGCTCTGTGACTGTTTGGATATGGTTTCCACTCTAATTTTTTTTCTGCTCATTTCAATACTTGTGTTCATCTTTTTTATTTTTCCTGACAGTTAAGTGCTTCCTTCTTGACTTTGTTATTCAGTATCCTATTACCCCCATTGTTATCAAGAAACTACTATCAACCATGGCCTCTGTAGGGAGCTACCACCATTGATCCAATGATCCTGGTGAGCCTTTCACAGTGCATGCCTTATCACATTGTTAGACAGACAGACCTGTGGGCCTTTTGGGGAAAACAGTCAGCTGGTAGATTTTATAGTCTTCTGTAATATTAATATATCCACTTTAGCCTGATGACCTCACTGAGCTTTTGACCTCTTGCCTCACCTGACATAGAAGTTTTGGCATTTCTACTTCACTTTGTGTGGGTCAGCACTTTGCTGAACCTTCCAAAAACCATTCTAACAGGCTATTACATGTGTATTCCAAGTTTTTCACCAGAGTATTAAATTATTAACCAGAAAGTGTGCTTCCATAGTGATAGACTGTCTTTATCCAACTTAATATTCAACCACTCTTGGTCTAATCTCCTTAGAACTCCATCCCATGTGTATGCTCCTGGATCCTGACAGTGTACAGTGACTCAGTCCTATATCTTCTTTGGAATATAGTCCCTTCCTCCCATAGTGGGGTTCTTACCAGTAGCACCTGCCTGGATGATTTATATTGAAATTTAAATATTGATCTAGTGGTAGTAAAAGAGGTTGGGCTACATCTTGAGAAGGCACAAGTTGTCTTACAAAGCCAAAGTCTCTGCATCATCTCCAAGCAACGAAAGAGGAGTGGCCTTTAACAACAACAACAACAACAGCAACAACAACAACAAGCCATATTCGTAGGGCCTTAGAGTAAAAAAATCTGGAGATTCAATATTTATGAGATTTCTCTATCCTATGTTTCATTATTCTTTTTCTTTTCAATCAGGGTCTTCTTGGCATAACACTCTGGATTAGTATTTTAAACTTTCTGTATTTCTTGTTATTCTTCTAATGAAGTCCCATGCCTGATTGTTAGCTCGTTTTGCCCTCCAGATGTCAGAGATAATTATATTTATGTATTTATGTGCTGCATTGCCTTAAATTAGTGATTAATTACTCTAAGCCTTATATCATCCTTTTCAAATCCCAGTGTATCAATAGCCCTTAGCAATAGCTATCCTATTATATTGTCCTTATAATTACTATTTTTCCTGAATTTCTCAAATGACTGAGATATGAGATATTTCACTAAGGTTTTACATTGTTTTATTTTTTATGATAGTATCCCCTTTTGATATATTACCATAGAAATTGTAATGATTGCATGTCAGAGGCTCTTACTATCCTGTGTACCACCAGTCACAGAATTTTCATTGCCAGCTGGCTGGCAGATGCTTCAGTTCCAAAAATTTAATTTCAGAGTCTTCTTTTTGGAACATAATTAGCACCAACTGATATAGATAAGGTTCCCTGGAAAACAGACTCTGAGATACTTATTAGGATGAAGGAAGTTTATTGAGGTGAGTTCACTGAAACAATGGTCTGTGAGTGAGAGAAGTAAAATTGGGCAGAAATCCTTAACATAGCTTTTCAGATAGAGCTACAAATAAATATATAAGATGCCCAGTCAAATTTTAGTTTCTTACTAACAATGAATAAATTTTTACAAACATATATTTTAGCATATTTGAATGTTTATAACCCCAAATATTCTATTAAACATACTTAATACCCCAGAATTATTTGTGGATGCTTTTAGATGTAAGTTACCCATAGAAGTGGGGGCAGACTCGTGTGAGGCAGAATTCTTTGGCTAAAGACAATGCTTGGATGTGATATTAACTGTGAGTTGTTAGTAGCTGAGAGAATAAATGCTTTAGTTCTGGAAAGAAGAGCAGAGTAGTTCTGCACAGTTTTAATGATTGTGTGTGTGAGCTAGGGGAGAAACAGAGAGAGAGAACAGAGAAGGGATGAGTGGCAGGAACTATCTCACTATCTCATCTGGGCAAGTTACTCATCGTCACTCAACAATTTCACCATCTTACAGTATACAGTAAGATGATAATGTACAGCACAGTAAAAACAAAAAGACATGAGTTTCAGGCTTAATTCAGAACTCTTAGTCTTCTTAGTCCAGAGCATTTTTCTCAGGTTATCATATTTCTGGACTTAGAGCTATGGAACTTGAGCAAGAGAGTCAGCTA